GGCCGTCTCCCGGTAACGGCGAAGACCCCTCGCGGCGATGGGCGGGCGCGGCAGCCAATGAGCGCCGCGCGAGCGGGGGCCGCCCCGCGGCTGCCCCAATCTGCGGCAGAGCAGCCGCCAAAGGGGGAGGGCCCGGTGGAGAAAGGCCTTCTGGGAAGGGAGGGCCGCCCGGCGTGCTCACAGGGCCCCGCCCTCGCGGCCCCTCCCTCGCCTGGGCCACTCCCCCTGGCCCTGAGGCGCCGCGGGGTCCTAGTGCGAGTGGGGCGCGGCTCGGGTGCCGGTGGGAGGGCGGTGGGGCGGGGCTTGGGGGCCCCACGAGAGTCCGGGGGGGGGGTGTCACGGCTCACCCCCCCTCCTCCCCCGGTTGGAGGGGGGTCACGGCGTAGCGCTGCCGTTTCCCCGTGTCCCTTCACCGGGAAGCCCACGCCTGACCGCCGTCAGCCCCACGGTGCCGCGGTCGCCGCGATCCTCCCGTGGCCAGCCGGTCCTTCCGGCGGGACGACGGTGGGAGCAGAGCCCGGGTCCCCCCACCCCTCCGCCGGGGAGCGGCCCGATGGGCTCCCAGAACCTCCCGGCTCGCTTGTCCCCCCCTGCCAGCGTGGCCCCCCAGCAGATCCCGGCGTGGCCAAGCCCCCCGTGGGGAGCAGGCACCCCCTGCGGGCCCGGTGCTGACCCCGGTGCGGCTCCGGTGCGGGCGTGGGGGCGGTGCCTCCGGGCTCAGTTTCTGTTTCTCCGCTCGAAAAGTCTTTGGGCGAGCAGTGCGGGAACCGCCCTCGTCTGCTCGCCCGGAGCCCTCCAGGAGCATCCTCGGAACCCTCCCGGACCCCTCCTCGGAGCCCTCCTGGAGCATCCCCGGACCGTCCCGTAGAACATCCCCGGAGCATCCCCAGACCCCCTGCCCAGCTCCCCGGAGCATCCCCAGAGCCCCCCCAGAGTATCCCTGGTACGTCTCCCAGAGCTTCTCCCAGTGCCCATCCCAGCCCTGTCCAGGCCATCCCTGGCGCTGGCGGCAGCCCAGGACCCCCGCCGTGGGGTAGCCGTACCCCACACGTGACGCCAAGGGACACCCCGAGGCAGGTGAGTGGGACCGGGGCCGGCTGGGAAGGGGAGCAGCCCCCATCCCCACATGCCCCACTCCCACCCCAACTCCCATCAGCCGCACCCCGGGGGCCACGCGTCCCTGTCCCTGCGTGGGACAATGCGACGCCGCGTCCCCTCGTCCCGCCGGGACCTCTCCCCGCCCCACGCCCAGCCCTGGAGCCCAAAGCGGCAGCGGTCGGCGAGCCCCGATGGGGACTGGGACGCCCCGTACAGCGGCCGGCCGGCTTCCGAGCCGGGGCGCAGCGACGAGCCCCCCGACCTCCTGGGCAAGCTGGAGCAGCTCTGCGACAGCAGCCCCCGGCAGCTCCTGCCTTTCCTGCGGGACCACACGCTGGAGCTGGGCCGGCTGCTGGCCCACCGGGACCTGAGCCCGGCCCAGGTGTACACACTGCTGCGGACCCTCGGGGCCGCCCTGGAGCAGGGGGGAGCGCGGCAGCCCCCCACACCCCTCCTGGCCCTGCTGCTGACCCGGGATTTCATCCTGGGGGACCTGCTGAGGTTCATCACGGAGCTGGACGCCTTCCAGTGCCGGGAGGGACGGATCTCCCAGGAGGTGGTGGGGGACACAGTGGTCGCTCTCCACCGCCTGCTGACCGCCTGCCCCGGCCACGTGCCGACGCTGCTCTGCTACCCCGTCGACCTCCTCTTCTGCACCGTGCAGCGGCTCCAGGGCCGCGGCTTCCAGTTCTCCTGGCTCATCCAGCAGCGCCTACACGACGCCAGGCGTCGGGTGGACGCGGCTTTCCCCCACCGCCACCGCCCCGCCGGCGCCTGGCGGGATGACTTCCGCGAGGTGCCGGTGATCCCCGCGCCCGAGGAGCTCTTTGGGGAGGCGGAGGGCCGGCTGCGCCCCAACCCATGCCGCGGGGCGCACGAGAGTGCCGCAGCCTACCTGGACCTGCACTTCCGACTGTTGCGGGAGGATTTCCTCAAGCCGCTGCGGGACGGCATCGCGGCGGCGTTCTCCCTCGGCGGTCCTGACAGCGATGGGGCGGCGCTCAGCCTCTACCGGGGGGTGCAGCTCCACACCGTGGCCGCCACGCTGGCCGGCCCCGTCTACCTGGCCCGTTTCTTGCCCCGCACCGGCCCAGCCGCCGCCGAGTGCCTGAAGAGCGGCTCCCTCACCTGCCTCCTCTCCGAGGACTGCAGCCACGTGCTCTTCGGGGTGGTGGCCGGGGTGCCGAAGCAGAGGGCGGCCCACCGGGACCGCATCTGGCTGCACATCCAGACCTACGGCCACCGGCAGCTCCTCACCCACCTGGGAAGAACCAGCTTCACCATGGTGGAGTCCCCGGCCTTCTTCGAGGCGTACCGGCACGTGCTGGAGGGGCTGCAGGAGCTGAGCCCCGCCGCCGTGCCCTTTGGCCGCTACCTGGTGCACTGCAAGCCCTCCATCCGCCACCCCGCGCACCTCGGCGCCGACAGGCTCTTCAACCTCGCGCCGCTGCTGCCGGACGGCAAGGAGAAGGTGAGTCGCGGCAGGGATCCCGCTGGCAGCGCAGGGCTCGCAGGATCCCCCCCGGGGAGACGCCGGCTGCCCTCAACCGCGGCCGCAGCTGGCAGAGTCCGGCTGGGGTGCACCACCACGGGCACCCCATCCCCACTCTTTGTTTCAGGGAGAGAAGCCGGCGGTGGACCTCTCTGCCGTAAGCCTGGAGGACCCAGAGGTCTGGTCCCCGAAGACTTTTCCCCACTTGGACGAGTCTCAGCTAGCAGCCATCCGGCTGGCGCTGAGCAGGGAGTTTGTGCTTATCCAGGGCCCCCCCGGCACAGGTAGGTGCCAGCGCTGGCACCCCAGCAGTGCCGCCCAGCACCGTCCCAGCCGGGGGTCCATGGGAGCAGAACGGGGCTTTCCCTGCCCCTAGTACACACCGGCACTTTCCTCCCCAGGCAAAACCTTCATCGGACTCAAGATCACGGAGCTGCTGCTGCGAAACCAGGGGGGGGAACCGTGGGGGGAGCAGCCACCCCTTTTGGTGGTGTGCTACACCAACCATGCCCTCGACCAGTTCATGGAAGGTGCTCGTCCCAGCCCCGGTCCCTCTCACTGCAGACCCCTCATGCCTGGCGTGGGCTGAGCCAGCAGCGTGCCCGTCCCGCCGGCAGCCTGATGCTCACGGGTGTCGTTGCTGTTGCCCATCACATCCCCGCTCCAGCCGGCTGGGGTCACGCTCCCCGCAGGGCAGCACTGCTGCCGCACCGGCACGCAGCAACTCATGGGCTGGCACGGGCTGGCAGGGTGGTCGAGGGGCAGGTTGGGCATGGCCATGGGGTCGGTGTGGAGGTTGGGCATGGCCATGGGGTTGGTGGGCAAGTTGGGCATGGCCATGGGGTCGGTGTGGGTGTTGGGCATGGCCATGGGGTCAGTGTGGAGGTTGGGTATGGCCATGGGGTCAGTGAGCAGGTTGGGTATGGCCATGGGGTCGGTGGGCAAGTTAGGTATGACCATAGGGTTGGTGTGGATGTTGGGCATGGCCATAAGGTTGGTGTGGAGGTTTGGTATGGCTGTGGGGTTGGTGTGGAGGTTGGGCATGGCCATGGGGTTGGTGGGCAAGTTGGGCATGGCCATGGGGTTGGCCTGCAGGCTGCCAGCCTGCCCCTCTCCTCCCCCAGGCATCCTCCAGTTCCAGCCCTCCAAAGTGGTGCGCATCGGGGGAAAATGCCGAAGCAAGAAGGTGATGGGCTGCTCCCTGCAGCTGCTCCGGCAAAGAGCGCTCTGCGGGCCATGGGGGGCCAGCAGCCGGCGGCAGTACGCGCAGGTATGGGGCCGGGCTCCTCTCCCCCACTCCCACCCGGCAGCTCACCAGCAGCAGGGGCTCGGCATGTCCCGCTCTCGCCTCGCCCCAGCGGCTCTTGTCTCCCCTCCCCAGATGCGGAGCGCCTTGCAGGAGCAAGAGAGGAGCATCGCCTTCTGCACGGAGGTGCGGGGGCTGCTCCACCGCGGCATCCTCACCGCCAGCGAGCTGGAGACAGAGATCATGAATGATGACCTGCTCTTCACGGTGGGGGTGTGGGCAGCCGTTGCAGCCCTGCTGGGGTGCTGGAGCTGAGCTCAACCTTCCCCGTCCCCCCCCACAGGGTGCTATGCATCTGGACATGCTGCAGTGGCTGCAGGTGCAGCCCACGGTGCTGCCGGAGGACGGGAGCCCACGGCGAGGCCAGGACCACGTGGCAGGTGACCCTCGCTGCCGCTTTCAGCCCTGGCCAGGCTCATGGTGGGGGGAACTTGGGAAGCCCCCAGCCCGACTGGCATCGGGCACAAGAGTGACCCAGCAGGAGTGGGAGCCCCCGGGGGGACCCCAGGCAGAGGTGGGGGGCAGACATGGGGTTGCCCTGGGGACAGGGGAGGAGGAGGGCTGTCCCCCTCCCCAAGCCCCCAGGGATGCAGGCTGTCCCCGTCCCAGCGATGCCCAGTGGGATGCCACGGGGCACGGTCCCACACGTCCCACAGGGCCATCACCCAGAGCTTCCACAGCTCTGCCCCCAGGCATGGATCAAGGGGCCGGGGGGGGCCGAGGGGGCCCTGGAGTGGAGGAGAGCTGGGAGCCGTGCAGGGACGAGCGGTGCCTGGACGAGGAAGAGGAGTTCGACCCCGCGGAGGCTGAGAGGAGACGAGCCCAGGAGAAGTTCGCCTACATCATCCCCGAAGAGGAGGGGTACGGCCCTGCACCCTCCCGCCGGCCGGGACCCCAGGGACACGCTGGGGCTCGCTGGCGGTGGGGGCACTGACGGCCACGTCCGTCTGTCCATCCCCAGCCCACTGGACGCCCAGCTGGCCCGCCGACTGCAGGACAGCGATGCCATGACCGACAGGGAGGTCGGGCACCTGAGGAGCCTCTGGCAGCTCCGGCTCGGCGACCGGTGGCGGCTTTACAGGTCTCACCGCCCCGTCCCCCCCCCACGGTGGATCCCTGGCGAGGAGAGGCCGGCGACACGGCAACCCCGGCACCAGTGCGGGGTCCCTGTCCCCACACGCTGGTGGCCCGGGACTGCCCCCCACAGTGACCCCATCCCGTGCCGGCAGCAGGCGGTGGCTGAGTGCCTACGGTGCGGCGTTGGAGGAGGCACTGGCGAGGCGGCTGGAGGAGTATGAGCAGAGCGCAGCCCAGTTGGCCCAGTACCAGCTCCAGAAGGACCTGCAGATCCTCAGGCAGAGCCGCGTCATCGGGATGACGACCACGGGTGAGATAGACACCGTGGTGAGGCTGGGGCTGGTGCTGGTAGTGGTGCCAGTCGTAGCGAAAGTGCAATTTCTGGTGCCGGTGCTGGTGCAGCTTCCAGTGCCAGTGTTGGTGCCAGCGCTGGAGCTGGTGCCAGTACCAGTGCTGGTGGTGGTGCCATCTCCAGCGCCAGTGCCGGTGGTGGTGTTGGTGCCATCTCCAGTGCTAGTGCTGGTGGTGCTGGAGCCGGTGCCTGCCCCCAAAAGGGGCCGTGGGAGGCGGGTGAGGAGCCTGGGGTGGAGGAACCAGGGGATGTCCCACGGGGCGCTGGGTCGACCCTGCCGGGGTGCCGGCTCCTTCACCGGGCTCATCCCCGGTTCCAGGAGCTGCCAAGTACCGCAAGCTGCTGCAGAGCGTCCGGCCCCAGACGGTGATCGTGGAAGAAGCTGCAGAGATCCTGGAGGCGCACGTCCTGACCTGCCTCACCGCCTCCTGCAAGCACCTCATCCTCATCGGGGACCACCAGCAGGTAGGGTGCCCCAGCCCCACGCCCCGGTGCCCGTCGGCACACCACGGCGAGCCAAACCCCCTTTGCAGCTGAGACCCAAACCAGCCGATTACACCCTGGAGAAGAAATACCACCTCGGCATCTCCCTCTTTGAGCGGATGATCAACAACGAGATCCCCCACGTGCAGCTGCTGTGCCAGGTGAGTCAGACCCCCCCCTGCCACCCACCCTGCGCCGGGGGGGCTACCGCCACGGCTCGAGCCTCCGCCGTGTCCCCGGCAGCACCGCATGCGCCCGGAGATCTCCCAGCTGCTCGTCCCCTTTTTCTACGAGGCGCTGAGGGACCACCCGGCTGTCGGGGGCTACGAGAAGATCCAGGTGGGGGGATAGACCACCGCAGGGCAGGTGCGAGGACGGGGCCGGTGCCCTGACGCCCACGTGTGTCCCCCTCCCCGGGCAGGGCGTCGAGAGCAGCGTCTTCTTCATCCAGCACGCGGGGGCCGAGGACCTCAGCGGCCACACCGGCAGCTACAGCAACCGCTCGGAGGCCGCTTTCCTGGGGCACCTCCGCAAGTACCTGCTGGGGCAGGGC